CTGATGAAGCACTTCCGCATTCCCCGCATGCTTCCCCGCTGGAATGCAGGGGGTTGGACTGGATGGCCCATGGGGTCTCTTCCAACTCTAGGATTCTATGAAATTGTCCACATGCTTGTGGATTTCAATAGCTTCTCTGTGCAGTCTGACATGTTGGTTGTGAGAGTGGTCCAGCATTTTTGTGTTCTCAAATAATATGCTGTGTCCAGGCTGGTTCATCTGTTGCTCTGCTATGGCTGACTTCTCTGGTTGAGTTAGTCTCCAGCGCCTTTCATGTTCCTCGATTCGTGTTTGGGCAATGCTGCTGCATTTGGTGGTCCCTCTGTAGACTTCTTGTCCATGATATACGTTAGACTCCTGCAGAGGTGAGAGAGGATCCCTCTTGTCCTTTGCTGAATGTAGCATTGGTTGGATTTCCTTGGTGAGACTGTACATAGCTTGTAAGTTGTGTTTCCTCATCAGCTTCCCTGTGCAATCATTGGTTCCCTTAATGTATGGTAATTGCACTTTTTCTCTGGGTGGAACTTTGTCTTGACTCTTGTGGCTCGTTCTTGATCTTCCAGCTCTTCTGATGTCTGAGGTGGAGTCTCCATTGGCCTGGAGAGCCCAGTTGAGGTGCTTCAGTTCACCTTGGAGGAGGTGAGCTTCACAGATTCTTTTTGCACGGTCTACCAGGGCTTTAATGATGTCTCTTTTTTTAGTTGAGTGATGGTTGGAGTTTTTGTGTTGGCATCGATCTGCGTGTGTAAGTTTTCTGTAGACGGTGTGACCCAATTGTTGATCTGGTTTGTGGATGACTAGGACATCTAGAAAAGGCAGTTTTCCTTCATTTCTTTTTTCCATGGTGAATTGGATATTTACTTTTTCCATGATGAATTGGATATTTACTTTACCTTACCTCGTTGTCTGTCCTCCAGGATTAGTGTATTTGTGGTGGGTCCGTAGGTGACTGTGGAGCCCTATTCTTGACCTGCATCTTCTCCCGCAGTAAGGGCATTGGTTTCCAGGTGGAAGGTGGTCTTGGTCGAAGTTGGCTTGATGTGCCTTCCTCTTGGCACGTTTCTTTCGCCCTCCATTCGTGCCTCTTCAAATTCTGCAGCACTGCTGGTCACAGCTGACCTCCAGCTGGAGCACTCAAGGGCCAGGACCTCCCAGTTCTCAGTGTCCATGGCAGAGTTTTTAAGGTTGGCTTTGAGCCCGTCTTTCAATCTCTTTTTTGGCTTTTTAAGTCTCTTCTGCTGTTTTTCAATGTTTTTATGAGTGATGGACACTCGTTGGCCTGAGAGGTGTCTTGTGTCCAAATTTGGTGTCCATTTGTCTAGTGGATTGTAGGTGAACTATAAATCTCAGCAACGGCAACTCCCAAATGTCAAAGTCTATTTTCTTCAAACTCCACCAGTGTTTACATCACAGTATGAGTCCACAGTACAGATGATGTAGATGAACTACAATTCCAAAACTCAAGATCAATGCCCACCAAACTCTTCCAGTATTTTCTGTTGGTTCATAGGAGTTCTGTGTGCCAAGTTTGGTTCAATTCCATCGTTTGATTGTAGATTCATTGGTGGGGTTCAGACTGTATTTGATTGTCGGTGAACTATAAATCACAACAACAACAACTCCCAAATATCAAGGTCTATTTTCTCCAACCTCCACCAGTGTTTACATATTGAGTATTTGTGCCAAGTTTGGTTCAGATCTATCGTTGTTTTGAGTCCACAATACTCTGTGGATGTAGGTGAACTACAACTCCAAAACTCAAGGTCAATGCCCACCAAACTCTTCCAGTATTTTCTGTTGGTTCATAGGAGTTCTGTGTGCCAAGTGTGGTTCAATTCCATTGTTTGATTGTAGAGTTCATTGKTGGGGTTCAGACTGTCTTTGATTGTAGGTGAACTATAAATCACAACAACAACTCCCAAATATCAAGGTCTATTTTCTCCAAACTCCACCAGTGTTTACATGTTGAGTATTTGTGCCAAGTTTGGTCCAGATCTATTGTTTGAGTCCACAATACTCTGTGGATGTAGGTGAACTACAACTCCCAAAACTCAAGGTCAATGCCCACCAAACCCTTCCAATATTTTTCTKTTGGTTCATAGGTTCTGTGTGACAAGTTTGGTTCAATTCCATCGTTTGATTGTAGATTCATTGSTGGGGTTCAGACTGTATTTGATTGTCGGTGAACTATAAATCACAACAACAACAACTCCCAAATATCAAGGTCTATTTTCTCCAACCTCCACATATTGAGTATTCGTGCCAAGTTTGGTTCAAATTTATTGTTGTTTGAGTCCACAATACTCTGTGGATGTAGGTGAACTACAACTCCAAAACTCAAGATCAATGCCCACCAAACCCTTCCAGTATTTTCTGTTGGGTCATGGAAGTTCTGTGTGCCAAGTTTGGTTCAATTCCATCGTTGGTGGAGTTCAGAATGCTCTCTGATTGTAGCTGAACTATAAATCCCAGCAACTACAACTTCCATATGACAAAATCAATATTTTTGCATTTTCACTGTGTATTGTATGGCATAGAACACCTGCTATTTATGTTATGAGCCACCTTGAGTCCCCAAGTGGAGATGGGACGGGGTATAAATAAAGTTTATACCTAGCTCCAGCAGACAAGAGTCCTTTGTCCCACCCTGGCCATTCCACAGATATATAAACCCATTTTCCTACTTCCAACGGACCTCACTACCTCTGAGGATGCTTGCCATAGATGCAGACGAAATGTCAGGAGAAAATGCCTCCAGACCATGGCCATATAGCCCGAAAAAACCTACCACAACCCATAAATGCAGTTGACTTGCCTGACTTGATAAACACTTCTGATTTGCTTTTCTCATGCTCCACTTTCATTTGTTTTCCTGACCATAATTGATCCATTTATGCTGCTGCTTAGTGAGATAATGAGCTAGTTCACGTCGTGTGGGTTGTGTTAGCAATTATAAATCATGGTTGTCCGTATAATCCAACACTTAGTTCTCTATTCTTATCAAGTTCCCATGGGAGAATCGCTGAGCCTTTGGCTCCAGGGTTGAGACAAATTGATAGAGCAACTAGCTTGGAGATTCAGTGATGCCCGGGTGATTAGAAAAAAAGGATGCTTGCCATAGATGCAGGCGAAACATCAGGAGAAATGCCTCTAGAACATGGCTCTATAGCCCGAAAAAACCCATAAGAACCTAGTGATTCCAGCCATGAAAGCCTTCGACAATACAAAAAAGGCATTGTTTGTTAGAAAATGATCAAAGATGTGGGCGAACTACAGTTTCCAAAAATTGTGGGTCAATCACCCCCAGATCCTGCCAGTTTGTAAAGTTGGGCATGTTGGGTCTCTGTGCCAAGATTACTTGTCGGCGGATTCAGAGTGCTCTGGGTGCAAGGTGAACTATAAGTCCCGGGTTCTAAGGTCCATCCCCCCCCCCCACCTCAAAACGCTTCCAGTATGTTCTCTTCATTACCAGGATTCTGTGTGTCAAGTTTGGTCCAGATCCTGTATTTGTGCGGTTCAGGGTGCTCTTGAGATGCAAAGTGAACTATAAGTCCCAGGTTCTAAGGTCCATTCCCCCCCCCCCCCACCTCAAAACGCTTCCAGTATGTTCTCTTCATTACCAGGATTCTGTGTGTCAAGTTTGGTCCAGATCCTGTATTTGTGCGGTTCAGGGTGCTCTTGAGATGCAAAGTGAACTATAAGTCCCAGGTTCTAAGGTCCATTCCCCCCCCCCCCCCCACCTCACCAGTATTCAAGTATGTTCTCTTCATTACCAGGATTCTGTGTGTCAAGTTTGGTCCAGATTCTGTATTTGTGCGGTTCGGGGTGCTCTTGAGATGGAAAGTGAACTATAAGTCCCGAGTTCGAAGGTGTCCCCTCCCCCCCAAATGCTTCCAGTATGTTATTTTGGTCACCAGGTTTCTGTGTGTCAAGTTTGATCCAGATCTATTATTTGTGGGGTTCAGGGTGCTCTCTGGATTCAGGGTGAACTACAAGTCCCAGGTGGGTGGGACAGTTCCACCTAAACCCCTACTGTAACGCCCTCTACATTGGCCGTCCTCTGTCTGTGATCCGGAAGCTCAAGTTGGTACAAAACGAAGCTGCTCGGCTTCTTGCTGGAATTCCGATGAGATGCCACATCACCCCAATCTTACTACAGCTGCATTGGTTACCCATTGAGCACCGGATCACTTTCAAAGGGATGGTACTCACCTTGAAGGCCTTGCATGGTCTGGGGCCGATGTACCTGAGGGACCGCCTCACCCCCTCCCAACCCCAGAGATCCCTCCGTTCTGAGGACCAAGATCTGTTGGAAGTCCCCAGTGTCAAGACCTTGCGCCTAACAGCAACCAGACGCAGAGCCTTCACAGCGGTGGCACCATCGCTCTGGAATACTCTGCCACCCGAAGTCCGTGCCTTGCGGGACTTATCAGCTTTCCGCAGGGCATGTCAGACATACCTGTTTCGACAGGCCTTT